ACCACATGCAACACACACGTGACACTATAAAAAACAGTCTCATCCTTCACCTTGTCGGTAACAGTTTTCAGCCCGTTCTTTTGACAGTTTTTTTTATTTTGCTGGAAGTTACAGGGATGCTCAAACAGACATATCAGTTATGTAGTCGTCAGCACGTCTTAGGAGGGAAATTGCGCACACACACACACACACACACACACACACACAAATCCTCGTACATGTAGCCTTGTCTTAAAAGTGCACGACAGTGTCTGCCTAACTGAGCGAAGGGATAGTTGCATTACTTGGGAGTGAATTAACAAAAGCACAGCATCACAATGTGTTCATGTAGGATTATACTATAGAGAAAGGAGAAAGAACTCATTGACTACCTATAAATACACTGTATGCATTGGAACCTGCTCCCTTCTGTCTTTTAAATGCTAAATATACACTTTACTATATGATCCATAAGGTGTAAACCGATACTGGTTTGCTGTAATATCAGCTAAATTGTCTTTCTGTCAACTGCCAGATTATTTCATTTTAATTTATTCCTGATGAAACCACAGTTCCTGTCTGACCAAAGGAACATACAGAGCATTTAATTTGCGTTTTATTTATTCATGTAATTGTTCCGCTGTTGTTTTTAAAAATATTTTTTAAGGGCCTGATAGATACTATAAGTTTCCTATCCCTCAGTAGGTGTACTGTGTCGTCATTGCCGAGCTGTTAACCCACATAGGAGAATTATAATACTGACTAAAGACTTTTCAGCGTTTTCCCCCCACATATACCGACGTGTACATTTTAGCGTAAATGACCACATTTACACTGACACTCACTGTGTACTATGAATTATATCATGATCGTTATACAAAGATACACATATTTAGATATAGTTTAAGCTCAAGATGTGTCAACATTATTTTTGTAGAGGGTTTAGAATTCTGATTTCTTTTTGTTTTTGCTGAACATTCCTCAGCAACTCCAGAAAATTAAAAAAGAAGTCCCAACCTTAAAGTTACATTTTTAAAACAATATATTCTGACAAAAACAATATTTCACATCATCTGAAAAACACTAAATTGATCTTTAAGTCTTGCTTGCGTTTCATGAGCTGATAGGAATACATGAACACCTAAACAAACTTGTAAATCACACACACACGCGCACACACACACACGCTGTAAAACGGTGTTCTACCTTCCCTTGTATTTCACACTCTCCTCTAACCATATGCAAAAGCTCGCACACCCTGTCTAACTCTACAGAAAACACCCACATGTGTTGCTCACAAGCACACAGCCAAGCGTGCATGCACTCACACAAAGAAATGCTATTCATTCATTCAGCATCTCTTCAGGTGCAAAAAGGGGATCTGAGGACAGACCGTACACTCAAAATGACAGCGCTGCCTTCCCTGTCCACTTCCCTGTCACACTTGTGAGCACAAAGATAAGTACATAAACAGTAAGGTCAAAAGAACTTGGTGAAATGAATTACAGTAACTGCCACCATGTGTCCATATATACCGGAATGGAAATGTATGCTCGAATTTTAGGCTGATTATAAACACTACTCTCGTATACACTTGCACACACACATTCACACGCGCTGTAATACGCTATATTCCCACATAAGTTTGAGAAACAAATTCTTCACACCCACGTAACACACTGAAACTTATAACATATACACACACACACATACGTCTAGAAGCAAACCCACATCGCTGTTCAAACCTTGTTTCACTATATTTTTTTACATGAGTCACTGTTAAACAAACAAACACATGAACGTACACACAGCAACATTCAGCGGAAATAGTTTGGAGTGAGTAAGAACACTAGTTAGGGTCAGGAAGTCAACCACACACCACATACACTTCTAATGAGTATGTTGGTTGGACTTTTTCAAGAAATGAACAAGTGGAAGATTTACACAAAACTTGCATTTGATGTCTTTATCCATGCTTCTGTCTTCACCGAGGGTTTGCTCACTAATTTTGTGATTGGAATCCCTTTTTTTTTTTTTTCTGTAACTACATACTGTTCATCTAGCCCATACATTCTATACCACCTTCTGGCATTGTCTTTAATTGTTCATTTCTTGTGTAGCACTGAGATAAAGCAGATAGTCCCTGACAACACCTACTCCTCTTCACTCCTCCAATATTTCATTTTTTTTCAGGATGGTTATTTTGTCGTATCAAACTTCTCTATTCCCTTCTATTAGAAATCCATGTGTGGCACTGACACTTGGCTATATATTGAGACATGATTGCTGTCACTCAGCCACAAAGTTTCTGTCTATAATGTCTGGGAATATAACAGGGACGGTCCAATATCGACAAAGCTAATCCTGGATAATTTACAGTCTAGAAAACACAACAACACCAATGCATGTGTGTCCTTGCATACATTTTCTCTTTTGCACTTTTCCTCTTTCACACACTCTGAGACACATTCATACATAAATACGCAGAAATTATTTTTGCTCTTTTTCCGATTGCTATAAAAAAACAAACCAACAATATTTGAATTCTTACTTTGGTCATTTAGTTATTCTAATAACACTTGGCCATAAATATTCTGTAATACAAGAAAAAAAAAAGTGACCATCAAAAGTCAGGGTTACCAAAATAGATTGTTCCTACTTCACTGAGTGCTAAGTATTGATTTTAAGGAATAGTACATTTTTATTTTGCTAACAAGCCTGACCTGCTGAATCATAGGTGCTTGTTCAAGGGCTCACGTGGGTCATGTGACCTTTTGCTATTTAGTTTAGTGTTACCAACAGACACGAGGACGATGGTCGGGCCATATGGGACGACAGCATGCTAGCTAATGGGGGCTTCTTTCACTGGGCATCACCACACAGAGGCTTGCTCATGGGAATCAAGACTTTCCATTACAGTGCAGGTGTCATCTGTACTCAGAGAAGTTCTTTTAGAAAATCATTTTTAAAAACCCATTAATTAAATACCTTTTTATTCAAAATAACTATGAATGTTTCATAAACTATGTTTTAGCAGAAATCCATGTATTTGCTGGATACAATGCAACACAGCATAATTCTGGCCGGCTCGTATTTAAGGATCAGAATCAAACATAATCGAGAATACAGACAGAAAAAAATATATACTTTTTCTTCCTTTCTACGTACTTTTTATTTGACAAGAAAATTGCATTTTACAATTAAAGGTTTAAAACAACTCTCTTTTTTGATTTCTTTTGAATGTGTGTGTGTGTGTTTGTGTGTACATGTGTGTGCGTGTGTATGCATGTGTGTGTGTGTGCTTAGCGCGAGAAACATGTACAGCTACATTTAAACTTAATTTGATTAATTTCAGCCTTCTCATTATTAGAGTTTTTATGAATCCGAAGTACCTTCAGCTAATTTTTTTCTTTCCTTCAGGACCTTTCTTAAAATGTAAAGGATGTCGGTGCACAATCAGTGCCTTTCTGTTCATTTTTCTGAGTGCAGAATTATTGCCATGTTGCTGCAACATGCTGGTTAACATGCTATATTTCTATACACACACACACCGCACACACACCTACATTATAGAGAAGTTGTTTTTAAATGATGTTGATGAACTAAGTGACGTTAATTATGAACTGAAAAGCACAGTTGCACCGAGAGCCCCTCTCTTATTGTTACACTGTGTGAGATTCTGCAAAGAAGTTCTTTCTAGGAGCTAAATTTCAAAGATTGTGATTCATTAAAATTAGAAAGGAATATCTATTTAATTTTTCATCTGTAAATACGGAGATGCAACTTCATATATCAAGCAGGAACAATCATTTCAAAAACAACAGTTTATTCTATACGTTAAGTATAAAGTCCACTTTTATTTCATGAAATTTAACTCATTGTCCCTGAAAAACACATTATCCTCTATATTTTTGACAAGATGTGTGGGTTGTTTTGTTTTTTGTTTTTTTTTTAAGGATTTTTGCTTTCTTTCATTGTTTGATTGTGGATTACCACTGATTGGAAAATTCTGAACATGCAACAACTATATAAATTAAGATGCTTATTCCACACAGTTCCTGTCATCTGCTCTTCTTACAATACCTGCAGTCCAATTCACATATTGCAACGTAGTCTTGAAAGTTTCTCCTCATTCAATCAAAGTCACTAATCTCACATACAAAAGACACCCACACATTTACACCAGTTCTCACCTGTGCCAGGACGTCCCATGATGATATCCTTTCGTGGAACAGGGTGAAGACTTTCTGCTGGCAGGATCAGGGGCAGCAGAGCAGTGGGAGAGGGGTGACAGGGAACAGGCTGCTGGACCTCACCACCAAACCCTGGGCCCCTGTTCTCCTCTCGTTCACCAGAACTGTTCGTGCTACTGGGAGCAGGAGCTGTGACTGTTGTGCTGACAGTAACTGACAGGGCCTGCAGGGGGTTGGCGGGGTTGTCAGTAGTGGACAGGGAGGAAGGTGTTGGGGACACAAGCAACAGAGTTTGGGCTGGGCTCCGAAAAAGGACGGCGCCGTTGGGTACTGTGGCTGCAGCAGCATTAATCGGGACGGGAACCTGAAGGCCGGAAACTGACTGAGGATTAAGGGGGGTTAGGGCAATGTCTTTAGATGAAGTGTTTTCTATCTCTCCCTCATTTCCACCTCCTCCTCCTCTTCCCAAGGGACACTCTGTAAATTTTGCCAGGGGGACTTCGGGATTCCTCACAATGACAGGGGAGTCCCGTAAGGCCTGTTGGGAAATAGGGACCACACGACGAGGCCCTCCATCTGCAGTAAGAGGAGAAGGAGGAGTAGGGGACACCAGCAGAGGAGGAGGGGAGACAGCAGTGGAGGATGGCGGCCTGCTGGACGAGGGGGTGGCTACTCCTTTGGGTCGAGAGAAGGTGGGCGTGTGTGTGCAGGAATGTGAAGCTGGTGTTTGGGGGGACAGCACCCTGAAAGAGTTGTTCAGGTCTCCCTGTTCCAGTTCTGTTTTGGGTGTGTAATCGTGGTGGTGTGAGGGGAGAGGTGGTGGAGGAAGTGCATCTGGCTTTCGCTTGCTTGGGCTCATCGGGACTGTAAACGTCAAGTTACTGTGGAAGGAGGGCTGGATGCCCGATGCATGTCTCTCCCTTTCTCCTCCTCCAGCTGGGGTTGTTACCTTACTGCCCCCTCCCCCTCCTCCCCCCGTGCCACTGGGCTGCCTGTGCCTCCGGTGTTGCAAGACTGGTGAGGCAGTGATGGGGGAGAAGTTGGCCGGCCTGAAACCGAACAGTGGAGAGGGTGAGGGAGAGGGGGCAGGGGAAAAGGGCGACTGGTTCGAGATGGGAGAAAAAGAGGGGGTGCCAGAGCGGGAGCTCCCTAATGACACAAGCATGGTGGCAGCCTCACACTCATCGAAGTCAAACCGTGACGATAGGTCATGAGGGAGGAGGGACGGGAGGACCAAGCGGGGTCTGGAGTCTCCTCTGCTACTTGTCTCACTGCTCTCTCTTGATGTGTCATCCCACTCAAACTCACTGCTTGCTCTCCCGCGGAGGTCAGAGGGGGTGACTGTCCCTGAGCTGCTGCCTCCTCCTCCTCCCTTCTCTCCACCTGCTGCCTCCATCTCTTTGGTCCTCATGGACAAATGTCTCGAGCAGTATCCTCGACGCTGAGACTCCTTCATACAACCCTCCCTGGAGCACAGCCTCCTCCACTGCTTGCCATTGAACTTCTTACGGATTCCATTAGGGGTGCACACCACATCACCCTTTTTGTATTTTTGCTGAGCCAAGGAGAGGGGAGTCCTGGAGCGAGAGGAGGTAGAGGAGGACCCCCCACCAAAAGTAGGAGTAGGGTTCTGGGTCGGAGTGGTCTTGGATGGAGGTAGGTTATTCATTTCAGACCCCAGTAAGGCAGGGGATGGGGATGGCTGAAGACTAGCTATGGTGGAGAGGTGTGGGGGTCCCAGACCCCGCACCACAGAGAGGTGGGGGGAGGAAGGAGGGTAGCCACTGGACTTGGAGATTACGTTTCTGTGCTGAGAGGTCCCAGAATTTGGTTTTGGACCACTGGTGTGGCCCATGTTAAAACAAGATACCTCAACATCCTCTTCTGGCGTTTTAGACTGTTTTTGTCTTTCTCGGTCAGAGTAATTATCTCCGCACCCGTGACCTGTGCTGGCCATTACACTTGAAGTCACAGTGGAGGAATGGGTAGGTGAATGTACATTTCCATAGGTATGCCCTCCTGCAACCCCTTCATGTGAAAAACCATGACCCAACCTTACTCCACCTCCCAGCACCCCCATTCCAATACTTAGCTGGCAGACTTCCCTCTCTACCTCCATCTCCTCCCGCCGCTCCCTCTCTTCCCTTTCCCTCTCCCGCTCTCTCTCCTTTACCCTCCCACCATCTAAATGTGACACCTCCCAGGGCGGGATGAGCAGTCTCAGGCTCTGTCGGGACACCCATACAGCCTGACCATTTGCTTTCCTTTTCTCTCCCCCCCCTCTTCTACTCAGAGTTTCTCTGTCTTCATTCAGGAGCACCTGGTAAGGAAATGAGACACCCGGGTGAGGGTCCACCTGACCAACAGTCCCTTCTCTGTACAGCAGAGGACCTCCTTCCTCTCCACCAAACGGCACACACACTTGGGTCCCAACAGCAACAGGTGCCATGCCAGGTGGGGGAGCATCCAAAATGAATTCCACAGTGCTCTCAGCCCCTGAGGATGATGCCATCATGGTTCCACCATAAAACGGATATTTAATAAAGGTCTCCTCTCCATTAAGCTGGACTTCAACAGTACCTGCACTCACCCTGCGCACTACCCCTGGTCTAAAGACTGATGATGAGAAGCAAGAGTCTCCAGTAACTGCCGCCTCTACACCACTCGCCCCAGACCGCTTTATCTGTCGAGCCAGAACTCTCTGGTTCTTCATGCCTTTGGCCAGAGCTTCAGCTAACCCCTCTGCAGGACTGGCTTCTTTAAAGTGCGAGTTATGGTGAGGAGCAGGGATGTGGGAGTTCTTCTGATGAAGTCTTGGTCCTGTTGCTTCCAGTACATCCAGGTCAGTTGAGTGCTCACTAGCTGTATCGGTGGAAGAGGAGCGTACTGAGTTAAGGGCCCCCTCGGATTCATTTTCTCTTGCTTGGGACTCTTTTTCCAAGGAATTTGTTGTCCTGAAGGTTTTATCCTCCATGGGGATTAAATGATTTGCTTCTGTAGCTTTGCTATCCACAGTTAGCATTGATGGCTGATTACCTGAGCAATTATTACTTCTGCTATTACTGCTATTGATAAAATTACTATGATTCCCAGCACAATTGTTACTACTGTTAGCCATCTTCCTAATTCCACTTGTGACATTACTGTTATTGTCATTATTGATGCTAATATTAATGCTATTACTGATATTGTTACTACTCGTCAAATTACTATTCAGACTATTCACACTGTTACTGATCTTGCTGTTGATATTGCAGTAACTGTTATGTATGAGTGCAGGGCTGGAGGTAGGAATGGTATTCATGGCACATGCATTGTTAGTAAAGTGTTCATATGTGTATTTTTTCTTGGGTACACGAGCCTTAAATGTGGCTGTTTTCCTACTAGAGACTGAACCTAAACTGGGGCTGTGGTTGGTGGCTGGCGGGGGCGTCGCTGTGGAGATTGGCGCCGGGGCAGAGGTAGAAGATGCTACAGAATCGGTGGGCTTGGTACTATTTCCATTCGTGCCCACTATCTTTTCATTTTCTGCCTTTTCGTCTGCTCTTTTTCCATCATTCTCAACTGACTCCACAGGTTTGCTCAGCTCAGTAGGCTCCCCCTTCGCGAGGGTATTGCTGTTTGCGATTGGTTCTTCGTTAGAGTTGGCGGCGGCAGAGGGCGGGGTGTATTTGCGTTTGGAGGGGGTGTTGGGTGTGTGCTGTGTGGTTTTGACAAGCGTCTCCCTCTTGACTCTTTTGGGGTCTTTCTCTTGGAGGGGCTGTGAGGCCCCTCTCCTCCTCCCTCCTCTGCCTCTAGTTAATGGGGGAGAACGCCCTCTGTGTTTCTTTAATGATCTCATCTCTTCTTCACTGTTCACAAAGTGCTGTAGATTGTGCAACTCTTTTTTTTTTTCACTTCTAAGGCACTCCTTTTAATTTTTTCGTCCTCTTCTACTTTTTCCTCGTCCCTTTTTCTGTTCCTCTGGTCTCCGTATTGAAGTCTGGAAATGAAGAGGGAGATGCAGAAGACAGGTGGTCATTTATTGTTTTCATTATCAAAAATTACATCATACTCAGAAGGATGCTACAGTTCACTGGCAATCACTCAATATTTGAAGTGTGTTGTCATTCACACTCCATGCCTGCGTGATTCCCTACAAAGTGCGTGCATGCATGTCTCTGTGCACTTTCCTTCAAGTAAGAATTTGCTTCCTCAAAGCGTAGAATTACAAAATTATTTCAACATTACAGCTTTTAAAAAATGATTGCTTCATGTAAACAAACGAGACACGACAGTCTTTCATATTAGTTAGTTAAATTAGCACAAAAAACAGACACAATTTTGTGATAATTTTGAAAAATTATTAATTTATTTCTTTAAATTAAGAAAAGGACAGGAGAAAGAAAGAAAGAAAAATATCCAAGATAACTGGCTTTAGTTTGTCTTTTTAATGAAGCCTACATTTAAAATAAATTTTGAATGCATGCAGAGACAAAATCATTTCTTTCTTCATCTAACACACACACACACACACACACACACACACACGCACACACACACTTGAGTCTACTGTGACACGGGACTAGGTAGCTTTCTCACTCTTAGCAATATAGACTTGATGCTGCATGATCAGCTCGGGAACAAACACAGCATACATTTTGACTTCCATCAGAAGGAAAAAGACTGGCAGTGGCCTGGGTGAAGTCACCCTAACATAAGTGTGCAAGCGTGAGAGACAGCGGGAGGAGTATGCGGCTGTTTGTATGTTTGGTAAAATAGGCTGTTCTTGTGTAATCACCGGGAATTTCCACAGTCATTCTAGCACTTGCTGGCCCTCTCTCACCCTTTGTCAATGTCTCTGTCTTTTACAGTCATCTTTTACAGTCTCACACACACACACACACACAATCTACTAAAAACTATAATCAGAATAATACGCCACGGTCAAAATGACTAAAAAGGTGGCTAAAGATCAGGCACTCCCAATAAGCAAGATTACAGACTAAACACAATGACACAAAAACAGACGCACTTGCACACTCGTACACCAAAGTGTGCATATGTGCTGCCCTTGATTAAGCCTTTGCAACGATTGCAAATGCCTGGTGTCCTACATATACAGATCTAAACGTAAACACGCTAATTCAGACAGCGCATGCACTCACACTTTCCATCCTAGACACAGGAAAAGTTTGTCACACACACGTAAGGTGACCTTGTTGTTAACTGTTCATTTGCCGTAACAAACAACACTCGGTATAAATGAGTAGTACACTAGTTCCATTTTGCACTGTACAAAAACGCATCTCTTCAGGGTTCTGAATGACTAATAAACAACCCAAGTCTTCTACACACTCATCACAGACTCTGCATTTGACCTCTGCCAAACACAACACACTATTTATTGTTTAAACAGGCTTTCATTTGTACTACTAGTTACAAATTGTTTACTCCATATGTTCACTATTTTGCTACATATTATGAATGCACAGGAGTGAAACTTATCCATCTCGATAATTTCCTGCATATTTTCTGTCAATACCTACACTAATAGTTATACTGATGTTTGCTATTTCACTGCAATAGTGCAATGTGTGTAGTTTCACACCTGGAGTTTATCTACTCTACTGTAACTGTGAGGCTTCCTGCTGACGCAGAGATTTGAAAACGCCACTCTATTTATATCAGTGCAAATTTATCGCTAACTACAAAACTGTTTCTAAATGTATGCAACAGAAGAAAATGAGCCGCATTTGAGTCAGCTTACTGTGTGAAAAAGCTGAACAAATACAAATAGTTTCAGATGTGTCTCATCTTTTCAAAGTGGTAAAATTAGTTTGATCTCTGAAAGATTTCAAGAGAAATCAGTCACATAATGAAAGCATCTCATCATTACAAAATATTGTGCATACAATTAGCTGACCATACAATGCATAAATAAAACTTAAACAAACGCAAGTATGTAAAGAACACATACAGTATATTGCTTCGTCTCTAATTACAGCAGCTTTCGGTAGGAAAGAAAATAAATTATTTGTGTAGTTTTATAAATGTCAGGTTTAAATTGTCCATCCCTGACAAATCATGAGAAAGGAAAAAGAAGAAGAATGCTGAGTAAAGGAATGTACGTCCTACCACTGCCAGGGCATGTACCCCTTCATTAGAGGAGGTGCCAAAGCCTGGACTGGTAGCGCTGGTTACTGTAGAGCACTGGAAAAGACAGGAAGGAGTCAGAGCCACATGGCTGACGGACTGGTTAGCTAGACGACTCGCGAGGATCTGATCTTAGCTTAGAAAAATGCACTGGGTCATGCTCTTGGCCTCACAAAATGCTCTAGGCTTTGGCTAATACACCAGCGCCAGGCCTGTGTGTGTATTCACATTTTGCAACTTTGAAGGAAGCGGACGGCACAACAAATTATGTTCACGGCATCCGGAAAAGCGTTTTATAATTAGACACAGACCTAGCAGAGCTTTATTTTCATAACTAGGTACTTGGTACAAGTTTACAACTAGTAATTTAAAATAACTTATTATAGAGAGGCTCATACATTTTTGTAACTCCAAATTAAGTTATAAAAACCCTCTAACTCTCAGTGTTCAAGCATCTTTAAAAAACAGACCTTTAACTCTATGTGTGTGTTAGATGCAATCCAAGATGCAAAAAGCAAGTCTAAATCAAAAAAAGTCTCTCTAGGGTGCAGTTTTAGTGCATACATTTTTAATCAAAAACATAATGATGAAAAATTCTGATTGTCCTCTGGGCTGAATGCGGACGACGCAGAGAGGAACTCAGTCATAATTTAGGTAGTAGGATGTCTACACCTTGCAGCGTTTGAGCAGGTTAAGAGTCCGATATTTGCCGGTCTGATCTTAAGCTATTTAAATAGGCAGATAATTAACGTCTCCATGGCGTTGGACTGGACGTTTCCTTAAACAGCAAAAGGCGCTGTTTTACCCCATAAATATACAGGAGCACATAATGTAACCCTCCTCCACATCCAAGCACCTAACTTTACACACACTAAATGCTCTCGCAGGAATTTACAGTGCAGTCATGCGTATACTGGTAAAATCTCCCTTGGACCTATTTATTGTCACACACGCACGCATTCATTGTGCCATATAAACACTCATGCACTCTATAGGTTTTCCATTTCTGTATAAATAAAAAATAAATAAAAACTTCTTTAATGATTCCTCAATTTTAGAATTAGAAATATACATCTTGATGCTGATGTCTTGGCAGGTTACACACAGATGCATGTAAGCACTTAATACACACAAATACGCAGAACGGTCATTCACAGGGAATCTTATCTCGATGTCAACACGCAAGAACATGAAGTTGTACTGTATTTATTACAGGGCTGTACAACCATAATAAACCTCTATCTTGATGCCACTGTATTCAGTCAGATTTTAGCCGATGCCCCAACAACATGGCACAGAGTGTGTGTGTGTGTGTGTGTGTGTGTGTGGTGTGTGTGTGTGTGGACGATGAGGGACATTTGAGCTGCCTATACCACACAGGGCATCAGACTGTATGTGGCTGTCTTTAGGTTGTGTCTACTTTGTTCAACACTGCATTTGCACCATATGCCACGGTGAGTGTATACGTAGTTACCAGGCACACTGCAGCTCATCCCTCTCCTAAAACCATTTTATGGGTGTCTGTATGGGCGCAGGGCTGCAGTGACGAGGACAGAGACAGAGACGGGAGAACATGCGATGGTATGGCAGAAGAAGACAGGCGTACGGCCGTGATAGTGACGCCTATCGTGGCCCTCGTACACTTAAGCATGGCAGGGTGGCTTTGCCCTTAACTGGGTCACCAGGGAACACACTCACACATGAAACAGCCAAAAAAAAAAAGACACAACAAAAAAACATGCTCTGTGCCACACACACACACACACACACACACTTTGATTAACATGCTCATGAGTGGGCAGTGATTGTACAGACAACGTGACACAATTTTAAAAAAACAACATGTTGTTAGGGTATTTTTGGTGCAGCAAGAGAGTATGAGTGTGCTTGTTATAGAGAGCATCCATTGTGACGTAGGATGAATACAGGCAGCTGTTAAGTGGATGGCATATCTGACTGTAGATATAATATCAATAACAGAGAAACAACAAAGCCTGGAAATTCGTGCATTCTGGCCACTATTGATCAGAGGTTGTAGCATAGATCAGAGGCAACTGTTCCTGTTTGGGACCAAATGGCAGAACTGCCAATGGCACATCAATGGCCAACTGCTCAACAAGCTCTGCAAAGATGCCTACACTATCGGGGCCACACAAGGGCAATAATGAGGATATGAGGAATGCACCTACAGGAAAGACGAGGACACTTGAAGTCCAAAAGTGGGAAAAAAAAAACAAGCGTTGGATTTCTAGGACTGAAAATAAAAAAAAGACAAAACTGTTTAAAGCTTCCCAGTGAGAGATGTCAAGGGTACGCTGACAGTGATTGCGGGATTGCAATGCAGAAAAGTGGAGTGTCGGCGAGGGAAAGCCAAAAGAGAGAAGAAAAAAAAAAAAGAAAAAACATGGGATGCTTCCCCGGCTTCTTTGCGCTGATCTCGGCGAGTACTACGAGAGGCGCTACACAATGTCAAAGGAGTATTATGACTCGAGGCAGTCAGGCGGTCTGCTGTGCTGCACGGCGCTCGGTAACAAACACAAACAACCGGTCAGAAGTGACGTTTTATTATCACAACTATACGAGCCCGATTCTTCCATCGCACGATGGTGTTTGGCATGCAAACACTCACTACAACGCCCAAGAGTGTTCACGCAGCCCACTCCAGAGAAGCTTCCTTAATGAAATCCAGAGAGGACACTGTGGCCGCATGATTTGCACAAACTTGAGAAAAAAGCAGGAATCTGTTGATGTTTCGCTCTAGTAAGCAGCTCGGTAACGTTAGTAGTGGTGGCTGTAGTAGTCGTAGTACGCAACGGTAGCACACTCAAGTACCAACAAAATGACACCGACAGTCAGACCACAAGGATGTTATTTGCCTCTCTTGTTTTCTTTTTTCCCCCCTCTCCCTCTCTCTCTCTCTCCCACGTCCATTTTATACGAACCGAACAACACTGCGTGGCGGTAAAGTAAACACTCGGGCTGCAATGCTGCAAATAGGTCGCTTGTTTTTACTACGCTAACGCTGCTTCGCGTAAAATTTGAGAAGTACGGTGAAAGAAAAGTGCTCTCCACTAACCCCCGACAGTGTCTTACGAGCCGAGCGGAGCCACCGTGCTTCCCGGTCGTCCGTGGGACTGCGGTAAAACATTTCAGAAAGTTTTTAGGCTGTTACACACCCACCCCTCCCCTTTCTCTCAGCTCTTCCTCGGCTCGCAAAGCGTTGTCACTCCATTTCTTCGGACGGTAGCGGAACAAATGACCGACCGTAGGCAGTTGGTTCTCGCGTCTCGTTAGCTCGCTACTCCTGGAAATGGAAAAATGTCAATGTCAGTTGAGCTTCGTTGTCTTGTGATAACTTTGTTTCAACTCACCAAAACAGAGGTTTTTTTTCTCCTCGCCAGAGAAAGATTTATGGTCTTATTTTGCCGATGAGGAGGCTCGCACAACTCTCGGTAACATCCCTTGGCTTTCGGCTTTGACAACTGTGCGGTCCGGACTCGCACTTTACTTTTCCTCCGCAAAACATGTCTTTCCCCCACAGAAACTCAAACAAGGATATAAAAAAGTATCGGTCTTCTTTTCCACTACAGTCACAAAATGGTGAATGAACAACTAACAGCTGGGCGAGCCGACCAATGAGAGGTCTTTGACAGGTACAGTAGCCAATCAGCGGCGGTACCTTAGACCAAGGGGCGTGGCCGGCTGTCAAAGTCCGGTTGACGGACGGGGGGATCCAGCCAATGGCGGCGGGGACACTGCGCCGGACCGGTGTCTTGTCCCAAACTTTACAGTATCCAATGAGAGCTTTGGGAACCATAGGAACAGCATGAGGGAGGGCCGTGAGGAGGGAGGGAATAACTGCGAGCCAATAGAAAGGCACAAATGCCCCCTCCCTCTCTGAAAAGGAGTATGTTTACCATAATTGACAGCACTAGTGCCATCCCTGAGCAGACGGTGATAATGCATCAACCTTTATCCTGATACAAGCCGGTGCAGCAGGATTGAGGCGCCACATTGCGGTTATTGTTGCTCCCTAAACTGTTGCAAAATGCTCCATTATGGTTATTTTTCTATTTAAAAAACAATAATTCAGCAAACAGTGTTAAATAATTGTTGCCACCGAGAAAAACACATGCATGTTTGAAAAATAAGTTTTGGTCACATCTTGTGTGGCGCAGCCGACGCATCGGTGCCCCTCACACACCGCTCTCCCTTTTCTCTCAGCAACAGACGCTCACTTTCAGCGCTCTCGGCCAATGGCGTCGCAGCATCCGTGCTCGTTCTGACGTCGGTAATCTCCGCGCTCCGCCCACTCCGTTGAAAGTGAACGGGACCTGTCTCTGTTGACGTCACTTCACCGCCAGGCGATTGGACAGGTGCGCGACGTCTCGGGGCCAATGGGCACGCGCGGCGATGATGTCATCAGCAGTGTTGCCACCAGCTGGACGGAGGGGGCGTGGTCTGGCGTAAACCCGGCTAACCCCGTGTTTGCAACTTGCAGGCAGCGGAGGAGATGAACCTGTGCGCTGATCACTGACGGAAAGATGCGCATGTTTGGAGGTGATGGCACGTGCGTGAAACGGGCACGTGCCGTCACTTTGAGAGGTGATGTAGGTGGTGTGACCTTTAACCCTCGCATCGACGAAGGGGCTAACGACGCTACCTTGTGCAAGATAAAGCGCCATAATAGTAAACATTACATAATCCCCTGCTCTGTGTGTGTAGTAGAGAACCAGACTCATGCTTAGGGAGGCAGCCAGCAGGGCTCTCACAGGAGCAGCGCCGCCCGTTGGTGCGATGTGGTGCCTGCATGCTGGCCTCCCACTCCAGCCCAGTGATGGGTGAGATGAGATGTGTAGCCCGAAAAACCGAGGGAAGTTCTGATTGGCTGCACGGAGCTGTATGTGTGTGCCGTTTATATGTGCTCGCCTGCTCATGTGCACGTGTGTTTGCGTCGCGGGAGGAGGAAAGACAAAGCGAGGGCTGGATATTGATTAAAAGTTGATGTAGAGTGACATCTAGTTGTAATTGTTTAGCACTGCAAGTGGTGACTCATCCAAAAAAGTTCCATTTCTCAGCGGTACTGCATCTTGCTCCGGAGTGAAACACACATTCCCAACCTGTGAGAAGTGTTTCTGACTTTTGTCATGTCTTTGGCATTCCAGAAACACTTTATTTAATTCTCTTTATAGTGTCCAAAAGTCAGAAGATTTAAAAGCCACCACACTAAGGAATCAGTCAGAACATGCAGCTTTGGTACAAGGCGTCTTTGCAACTTTTGCACAGAGTTGGTTTTTACTCCAGCTTCTCATCATCTACAATCATTCTGTTTATCCAAAAAAATCTGAGCTGTCATTGAATTTCTAAGGATTTTGATAATATTTGATAACAAAATTACAGCAAGAAACATCTGATTATTTGTACATAAAAGCACCAACATTTTTTTTTACGTCATTTGGTTATTAAAAAATTATGATCAACAAAAGTTTTTAATTTCCAAATAAACGTGTGCTCCGTGGTAAACAAAGCATGTAAAAGAGGCCGTGTTTCTACATGACCTCAAACACTTCTTTGGCCTTTTAGTCGTGATCAATCAAAAAATCATCTCATCTCGATGCAGCAGCACGAGTGGAGTGCAGTTTACAAAGTGGAGAAACAGGTTAGGGAGGTTTTGTTTTATGGACTAACATGGAGGAGGGCGAGATAAATAAAGAAGTGGATATAGCTGGGGGCGGCGCAGACAGTTTGAAAACTTTTTAAACTGGTTACACAAATACAAAAGGCTTCTGCAGCCATGTGCACCATTTATATGAACAGTGCTGGATTTGATGCATGATGATGACTGTATCAGCCATGACGTGGTTATATCAGCTTTAAATGTTCTATTTCGGATGGATTGCAATCAATTCTTAGCTTATCATCGAATTTACGCTGATGCTTGTGTGATGGTTTTAAAATAACCCAGCTGTTTTCTGGATTGACCGTGCAGATGTGATAATAGTAAGAACACATCTTGTACAAGTAATGTGTAATTTCCTTCATTTTCTGGGAGAAAATTTCAATGTTGCTCATTTTTCTCTTTTGATTTTCTTAGTAAACGTGTCACAATGACTCACGGTTACTCATGCCTTTACTTATTTGACAAAACTACAAAAATGTCATTTGTTACTCTTAACTACATCCCATGGTTTTCTTAATCAAGTGGAATTTGCTTGAGATAGCTCAGTGTCATCATAGACTTAATGTTAAGGCCTGAGCTCAGACGAAAAAACTGGCAAGTTGACCTTGAGTTCATATAAAGATTTTTTTTGTCTTTTGTGTTTATATATATATTAGTTACGTTCCTTTACATTTCTTTCTCTTTGTCGTATCAAGTAACTATTTGCTGTTACAGTGGCCCTTTTGCACCACTAGGAGGATCAATAACGTCTCGTGGTATCATTTTCGGTGTGGTTTTCAATTCTTTCCGTTGCATGCAACCCCACCAATCCCTCCACCTCGTTAGCAAGTCCCCCCAGCTCTGATCTCCCGTTCTCCATGGGAGCCTGACCTCTGACCTTCACCCTTCACCCTCTCTCTGTGCGCTCATCACTGGGCTGTCAGTCAAACACCAACGACCCTCCTCTCCTGCTGGGCTCTGCTGTCAGACCGGCCTCAGGTAGAGACAGCGGCAGAGCAAAAACACAGACAAGTGGGGAGATCTGAAAGAAGAATTTGACATAAAATAAAGTTACGGCTAGGTGTTTAAGCTCGAAAATATTTTGCCCAAAACAGAATATGCCTTTGGATTTACCAGTCCTCTTGGTCCAGACTCTCATCTTGTCTTAACTAACTCTGCACAAAGACCACATCATGTCTCTCACTTCTGGGCTTCTTAATGCAAGACGCTCACAGTAGCATCATAGCCTCCTGACCTCTGACCCTCACCTTGACCTCTCACCCAGTCATGCGTGCCTCATCACACAAAAGACAAGAAATAAAAATAGACACTGAAAGGCTAAACGGCCTTAAAACCAACAGCTTTGCAGTCATGAGGACGGAGCGCTTTAATAAAAACGATAAAAAACTAACAATAAAACTCAGATTCGGAGGGTTCAGTGTGGATTCATGAGTGGATTTGGATCTATCATAAAGTTATACACCCCGCCTGCTTCATCTGAAAGCCAGTCTTTAAAAAAAAAAAAAAAAAAATCCCTGGAGGAATGGATTCTTGTTATCCACAGGAACTGAACCACTGAGGGGGCTTGGATTTTAAATATTCAGCATAGGCACATCAGTTTAAGATGACTTACTTTTATTAGTCACGCTAGAAGCACAGCTCTGTGTATGGCAACCTTAGTCAGTCCACCACTTTGGCCCAGACTGAAATATTTCAGCAGCTATTTTAAGGATTGCCATGAAGTTCTATAAAAACATTCAAAGTCTTCACAGAAGGAATCCTGCTGGCTTTGGTGATCCACGGATTTTTCATCTAGCAATACCAGCAGGTCAAGGTTTTCACTTACACGGTGAAAAATGTTGTTATCTACTAGATGGTTATCCTCTAACTTTTCCTCCAGCACCGCAGTGAGGTTGCAGATTTTGTTTGTTAGTCAAATGTGTGAACAGCTGCAGGGTGGATTTCAATCTCTTGTGGAAATTTGAAACGCGTCCCTGTCAAGCTGAACTTGGTGATCCTTTTAATCTCATCCTTGGGTCAAAAGTTTAAAATATTTACGCTAAAAAATCCGCAAATCCACCCACACTCCCGTCAGCCTCGAACGTTTTCTGGGTTTAGTGCTAATTAGTGAATGTCAATATGCTAAACTAAGTTGGCTAACAGTGAAAACATCACAGCATTAGCATTGTATGTTAGCATGCTAATGTTAGCATTTAGTTCAAAGCACTTCTGTACACATGCTTCAGAGCTGTTAGCATTGATTTAACCATTTAACAATTAGCACATATTTAGGCTTCTACATGTCTGGCCTTGTTTCATGAGAGTTTTTGAGTTTAAATGTTGTGTTTTGTTTGTTTTGGCCACTAAACTGAGACGGCACTCTTACATAAGCGTCCATGAAAGTTTGAACACAAGAAATTTGTGTTCTTTGGGCTTTCAGGAAGGGAACGTGTAATCGAAGGGATGGAAGTGCTCTTTGTGTATCGAGTGTCAGCAGACGACAGGTTTGTTCCTGTGGCTTACAGAAAGAAGCAGTCAGGAGTCATGATGTCTAATAATACCTGATAAATGCTGCACTCTCACTCTGCGAGGTTAAGGATTTAAGGGAAATCGTGGCAGCTTGCAGCGGTATTAAACCTGCAGATTAAACCAGTTTAAGTAAAGGGATGTCACCACAGAAGACACGTAGACAGAAATGCAACGTCTCCCACTGCTCGAACAGCCGCCGTGCGCTGAAACAATTTGCTCCGTGACCCTGATTAATGATTGAAGAGACGCGGCAAGCACATCACAGTGTTATTTAAGTCGGACAGAAATGGTCGCAGAGGGCCGGCATCCATGCAGGCTGCAGTGTGAAGAACAGTAGGCCCTTGTACTCACTGCATTCTTGTTCACAGTAATTTTACACCACTCAGCTGTTCCATCGAGTCCACATCATGTCCCG